GTCTCATTGAGTCAAATGAAAGATTTTAACGATACTGAAACTGTCTTTGGGTCAGCCCCCCTGACCAGTAGTCTGGGATTTCTTTTGCATTCTTGATTCATCACTATGCAGGTAATCCAAAAAGTTTGTGGGAAAAAAAAAAGGGTAAAGAAAATTCCCACAATCCCATTGGCTTCTGGAAATTTCAATCTTTTTCATATTTTTCAGCCTTTGGATGTATTTGAATGGATCTTTCAACAGAGTTAATATGAGAAAAGTGTCTCTGACTCGCGCTGTTAACAATTTCTCTTTATTATGATAAAAAGCTCCATTATGTGAAGTATTCTATAATCTTTTTGTTTAGTAATTATCACGTAGAAAAGCTGAAGGCATTCTTTTTTGCAAAATTGGTCATGTCTACTGTCTATTCTATTTGTTTGTTTTCACCTGCAGAATGTATCTGTTGATAGGTAGCTTTAGTTCAATCAAAATGTAGTGTGTCAATTTATTGGGCGACACTTGTTACTCAAGCACTAACACTCAAAGTCTGCTGTTGCCCTAGAAGCCTTTGAGGAGATATTTTATACCTTAACTTTTCCATACTGTTTCTTTTGGAATTTGGAAATCACTTTAGAAACCGTTCTGTAAATTTCTTTGTTTGTATTTTCTACAACTAAAAAAAAATTCTCACAAATCCTTGGCTCTTCCAATTGACATGGAAGTTCTCTTAGAATGAATTCTGTCATAAGTTAGACCATAAGATAATGCTTTTTCTCTTCAAGCCAGGTCTTACAAGCTCTCAGAGAAAAGCATTATACCCTTGATAGCTCAGCTACCTCAGGTGGCATAAAATAAGCAGGATGGCTCCTGTGACAGTGTTGGAAACAAAAAGTTTTAATTAAAGGCAAAAATAAAAAAGTTCTTTGCAGAGAAAAGTGGAGTCAGGGCAAGAGGTTCTTGCTCCTGCTAAAAAACACTTCACAAAAGCAATCAACTTATTTTGTTCTCTTCTTTTCTAGGGAGTTGCTTAGGCGGAACGTTTTGGCTTCTATCCTTAAGTTTGAGGTGAAGTCCCCGAGGTCCTATGAGGTGTCTTTTAACCAAATTGAGGAGAGAAACTTCTAGGTTTTTTCCCTTTTTAAGGCGACAAAGGGTAAGTTGTTTACTCTGTCAACAGGGGGCACATTTCTACAATAAGATCTTTCATTAAAAGCTGAAAGTTCACTGAGTGATGAGTAAGAAAGATTATGGTTCTGTGTCCCACCCTTCCACCTCCCCCCTTTTCCTTGCCATAGAGTACCATAGGTAATAATTTTTTTAAAAGTAATCATTTGGTGAAAGTGGAGGTGTTAATCTTTCAGATGCTTGCTACTCTTAAAAATGGCAAAGACTCTGAATTGCACTTGGGAGTTATATCCCACTTAGCCACTAGATGCATATTTACAAGGCAGTCTGAGGAATGCAAGTTAAAGGGGAATGCTTAATGAGTCTCTTTAAAAAGTGAAGGAAAGAAAAAGACCCTTTGTTGACACCTGATCTGCAGGATGTGAGAAGGCAGCTGCAATGTGCACATTGTTTAAAAAATGTTGACAATTTTCATTTTGTAAAACAAGGTTGTGATAAAACATTTGTCATTTTTCTTTCTCTTAGGATCTCCAAGCAGCTCAGAAAGAAGCTCAGATCAAAGTTCTTGAGGGACGCCTTAAGCAGACAGAAATTACTAGTGCTACTCAAAACCAACTGCTGT